ACTGTCTCTGTCTGGACTCCAGGGGCAGAGGCGCTCACTGGGACGGACCGGGGGCAGCAGCTGGCCCTGAGCAGGCGCAGTCCGTACTGGGGTCCCACCAAGGGGCAGATGTTGCTGCTGGCCCCTGGAGCGGAGTCCCGAGACCGAGGGCAGCAGCTGGCCCTGAGCAGGCGCAGTCCGTACTGGGGTCCCACCAAGGGGCAGATGTTGCTGCTGGCCCCTGGAGCATGGAGTCCCGAAGGCTCCCGGTGGAGGTAACACCTGCTTGCTCTGCTCATGCTGGAGCAGGGTGGGGACCCCGGGGCGCCACTCGGGCCCCAGTGTCTGGAAGGTCCCACGAGTTCCTAGAAGTAGAACTGGATTCAGATGAGGACACCCCTGTGTTCCCTTGGGCCAAGGGGCAGATGTTGCTGCTGGCCCCTGGAGCATGGAGTCCCGAAGGCTCCCGGTGGAGGTAACACCTGCTTGCTCTGCTCATGCTGGAGCAGGGTGGGGACCCCGGGGCGCCACTCGGGCCCCAGTGTCTGGAAGGTCCCACGAGTTCCTAGAAGTAGAACTGGATTCAGATGAGGACACCCCTGTGTTCCCTTGGTCCTAGTGTGATGGTCGGGGCCAGCCTGTGTCATCTAAATGGGCTACTGGAATGTGTTGCTGTGGCCTCTTACCACCGTGGGCCCTGCCCTCCAGGGACAGACCCACTCCACTGGCGCGGCTGCTCCCTCGTGGCTCGAGAGAGGGCCGTGCCCCTTGAGGGCTGATCACACCTTGACCGCACATTATAGGGCAACTGCAGAGAACCACTCCACAGGCAGTGCTTGCCGGGACGCTGATGTGCACAGCCAACTGCTGTCATCCTGGGGAAGCGGGATGTCCGCGTGATAGCCGGGCCCCTCTCTGTGCTCGCTGGACTCTGGCCAACAGGGTCCCACCTGCGTCAGAGTAGAACCCGGTTACTGCTTCTAGCTCAGGCCGTTCGGACCCCGTGGCTGAGCCCCCCGTCCGCCCCCCCGTCTTCCCACGACCAGGTCTCCAAATCAGGCAGCCGCATCCTGTCCACGTTTCTTTGTCTTGCAAAGAGCCTGGTTACATTAAGGAACATCCAGCTCCAGACACGTGCAACCCCCGCGTCCCCCTTGGCTGTGGTCACTCTGGCTTCCAACGGAACCCCTTTGGGGACAACGTGAGAGGAAAGCGAGGGACGCAGGCTGAGCCCCCTTGGGTGTTTTGCTGGCCTTGCTCTGCCCTGTGTCATCTTTGCACCATGTATTTATAGACCTTGTTTGGCCTCATTCTAGTTCGGCTCACAGTAGGGACGTGAACGGTAACCGGTTACATAAGAGCAGCCAGCCGGGGTCAGACCAAAGGTCCATCTAGCCCAGCATCTTGGCTGTTGCCAGTGGCCAATGCCAGATGCCTCGGCGTGAACAGAACAGGGAATCGTCAAGTGATCCCTTCCCTGCGGTCCATTCCCAGTCTTGGACAAACAGGCTAGGGCCACCATTCCTGCCCGTCCTGGCTAATAGCATTTGATGGTCCTGTCCTCCATGAATTCATCTAGCTCTTTTATAAACCCGCTTCAAGTCCTGGTCTTCACTACATCCTCTGGCAAGGAGTTCCACAGGTTGACTGTGTGTTGCCCAAAGCAATACTTCCTTTCATCACCAGGTGATGCTTACCTGGTACTGATTAACCAGTACCTGGGAGCAGCTGGCCAGCCCTAGGCAGAGGACTGCTCGGCTAGGTCTCCACTGGCGGTTTCTTCCACAGAGCATCCACACTGCCCGCCTGCTCTTGCGCAAGAAGTTTTATAGTAAAGCGTGGGGAGAGAGGGCTTCTTGCACAAGAGCTACGCTCTTTTCTAACAAGTGTAAGCCCTCTTGTGCAAGAGGGCAGTGTGGACGTGCGGCAGGGGTTTCTTGTGCAAAAAGCCCTATGGCTAAAATGGCCATCAGAGCTTCCTTGCACGAGAGCGTATCCACACTGCCATGGGCGCTCTTGTGCAAAAGGACATGGCAGTGTGGACGTGTTCTTGCGCACCCCCCGCCAGTGTAGACATAGCCCTCCGGTCCTGCAGGGGGCGGGAGCTGGCCACCCCATGCATGGGGGGCAGGGAGAAGCCGGCCCCAGGGGTCACCCAATGAAATTGCTGGGCAGCTGCTTTAAACCAAACAAACCCCGCGCAGCGCCCTGCCAGCCGGTGGGACTCATTGCCCAGCGAGTGCCAGGTCTGTCTGGAAGCACGTTTGTATATTTCAACCGACCCAGAGGGCACAAATGCCCCTGGTCCCAGTAACCGGCCTATCCTGCAAGGGGCTGCATGCCGCCTTTTGGCGCTGAGCACCCGGGCGGTCTCCTTTTGATGGCGCTGAGCTAACCTGGCCGTGCTGGGAGCCCAGGGCTCAGCAGCCTGCGGGACGTGGCTGAGGACGCTAGAGACCTTTGGAGCAGGAGGGGGTGTAAGTTTAAAAAGCGCCCCAGGCTTCCCGCCGTCGGCTGTGGAAACGCTCCGTGGAGGCGTCATTAAGGGCGCTGATAAGGGCAGCTAAGGCAGGGCCCTGCTGTAATCGGAGTCCGAAGTACTAAACAGTAAGGAGCCAGGGACTGGCAGACCAGCTCCCCTTCTCCACACCTGGCCTCAGCCTCCCTCTCTGCCTTCCCTCCCCTGCCGTGACTGTCTGTGGACTGCCCAGAGCGTGGCACTGGGGGAGAGTTAGCCGGCTCTCAGCCCAGGGCAGTGTTCATGGGACATCGCAGCCAAGCAGAGCATAGGAGACAAAGGGATTTCACAAGGAAAGCTCACGCGTCCGTCTGTTTTACTGGAGTCCTTACGTGAAGGGGGGGAGAAAGGCTGTTGTGAACATTCCTCAAAGCGCCAGCAAGTCAGGCAGGGACGGTCCTCTCCAAACACCCATTCCTCACGCCTCTTCCTTTCCCTTCCCAGGTCATCACCTACATCCTCAGCTTCTTGCCCCTTGCCGACAGGAAGGAGGCCTCGCTGGTGAATCGGACCTGGTACTTTGCAGCCCGGGACTCCCTGCGGCAGGGCAGGCCCGCCCCCCCGGCAGCCCTGTCTGCGCGGTGTGCCCGTGGTCACAGCCCTGCCGAGTCCCCTGCCCGAACTGTGTCCCGGCCCCAGCCGGTCCTGGGCAGCAGCCAGGCGCAGGTTTGCAAGGAACTTCTCAGCGCTCCCTCTTCCCTGAGCCGACCCGAAGCGCTGCAGGGCCAGGCCACGCTGAGTGCAGAGTCCCGGGGTGGAGGTGGGACAGTGCTTGGGAGAAGGCCAAGCTCCGTTCCCCCGCTGGCTGGGCCCGCGTGAGACCCCTAGCCTGTCCCTCCTGCCCCGGGGGTGGGTTGCTGCAGAGAGGCATTAACCTCAGCGCTCTGTCGGGGCAGCCTCCTGGCTTTCCCAGGCACCAGCCTCCCATCGTCTGTTCCTGTCAGGTAATGGGGGTGTCAGCTACACCGGGGGCAGGCTGGATCCGGCCCTTGCCCTCCCTCCCTCCGCACCGGCCTGCAC